ACAGCACCCATCGAAGTTATCACTACGAAGATACCAATATTCCTGAATTACTCACTGGCATTTCTGTACAGGGAGTCCGGTATGCAACGATTGGATATGACGCTCAGGGATACGCCATCAGTACAGCCCTGGCAGGCGGAGCAAATCAGTACACCGTCAACTACTACGGTGTTGCTCCTGGCACCATTGCTGCCGTTACAGATCCGTTCGGCAACAGTCGTGCGTATCAGTACAGTTCCGTCCGGGGTATCGCAGCGGTGACTTACAGTGGCGTTCCATCCCTCACCGGTTTGCCGGATGCCAATACGCGAGTGCAGAACGAGTTAGGCCTGATCGACAGCGAGACAGACTTTCGGGGAACGATCAAGGCGTATGAATGGGACCCCACCCGTCGCTTACCTCTGACGGTCACTGAGGCGGTAGGCCAGCCCGAATCCCGCACCAGAACCACTACGTGGCACCCCCAATGGCGCCTGCCAGCCACCATCACTGAGCCGGGCCGAGTCACCAGCTACACCTACGACAGCCTGGGCAACACCCTTTCCCAGACAGTCACTGACAGCGCATCCGGTGTCTCCCGCACCACCAACTGGACCTACCACACCTCGGGCCTCGTAGCCACCGAGACCGCCCCCAACGGTGCGGTCAGCAGCTACCAGTACGACAGCGCAGGCAACCTCACCCAATCCACCAACGCTCTGGGCCAAGTCGACAGCTACACCCACAATGGTGCCGGGCGCGTGCTCAGCCATACGGCAGCCAACGGCCTTGTCACCTCCTATACCTATGACGCGCGTGGCCGTATGCTGACCAGCACCGTAGGCGGCCTGGTGACCACGCTGACCTACCGCCCCAGCGGCCAGGTCGCCACTGCCACCTTGCCCCACGGCCATGTGGTCACCTACCAATATGACGCTGCCCAACGCCTGACAGGCTGGAGCGACAACCGGGGTGCCGGCGCCACCTACGTGCTCGATGGCATGGGCAACCGCACATCCGAGGAAGTGCGCAACGCCCAAGGCCAGGCGGTGTGGCAGCTTGCGCGCACCATCAACAGCCTCAACCGTGTGGAAACCACCACCGCAGGCTCCCAGGGGGCTACCAGCTACGGCTACGACACGAATGGTGATCTGGTGTACACCACCAACGCCCTGGGACAAACCACCCACTACGGCCTGGATGCCCTGCGCCGGGTGCAAAACATCACCAACGCCCAAAACGCCACAGCCAGCCTCACCTACAACGCCTTGGACAGCGTTACGCAAGCGAGCGACTTCAAAGGCGTGGCCACCAGCTACGTGCGAGATGCTCTGGGCAATGCCAAGACCGAGGCCAGCTCCGATGCAGGCACCCAAAGTGCACAGTACGACAGCCTGGGCTTGCCCAGCAGCGTCACCAATGCCCTGGGACATGCCACCACTATCCTGCGCGACAGCCTGGGCCGACCCACGAGCATCACGCACGCAGGCGGCGCAGGAATTGCCAGCCAGACCATCGCCTTGCGCTACGACCTGGCAGGCAGCGCCTACAACCAGCCAGGCCAGCCAGGTGCCAGCAAGGGGTACTTGAGCGAAATCGTCGACGCCAGCGGCACCACCAGCTATCA